TTAAATTAAATTAGACCCTTGGAAACAGGGTTTGACACACACACGGTGCCGCTTCGCGGCGCGCGTGTGAAAGACCTGAATAGTCACCTAAAAAGCCTTAGAAACAAAAGAAAAGAAAGACAGAAAGAGCAGCGCTAAGAGGGCAAGAAAGAAAGGTAGGTGTAGAAAAAGTGAATACTTAGCCCTTGACTGGGGTAGGGAAACGAGCCTCAAGAGCAACCTAAAAAGCCTGAGAGAAAGCCCAACAAACGACGAAAAGCGCAAGAAGGAAAGCGGGGGGGGCAGGGAGGGGCTGTATGTCCATGTGTGTGTACATGTGTGTGTCTGAATACCTAGCACTCTAGAGTTACTGATTACTTAGCAGAGATGAATTAAGTGCAATAGCTAGGGAGCGGGACTTTAGTCTTAGACCGCCCGGGTAGGATAGACTAGAACAGGAACAACACAGGGAAAGGCACCGACACACAAGTGTGTCGAGTACCATTTCCCTATGTTGCCCTAAATAGGTAGGGAGTAGAACTCGGCTGGGGGGGGGGGGTTGGGAAACCTGCCTCATTGCGGGTGGATTACCGTTTTATAGCCCGGCGGCTCTGGATTCGGTGGTTGAGATTGTCCGTTTTGTGGCCCGGCGGCTCAAAAATCCGTTAATTCAGTTATGAAAGTGAAGAAGCAAAGGGTCAGTTATAAATATGAAGGACCAGTGAATTCCGGAATGGCTTCGGCGCCTCCTTTCGGAGGGTCACACCCAGCACCCAAGTGGGAAGACTGAGCGGCTCACACTCTGACATTGGTTTTCAGTTAACTCAATTGCCACGTTGGGAAGGAAGGTGAAGAACGGTAAGGTGAAGAGTCCGCAAAACACACACACAGACTTGGTCCTTGTCCTGCCCCACATACTGCCCCCTGGAATGCACTGAGGCTGGGAAGAGCAGGAAGCACGTTCCAAGGAGTTGGAAATGGAGCGACGGCAGTTGCTCAACAGTGCGCTGCCGAGATGGGGGTCCATCAGTGGTGGTTGGCCGAAGAGGGGAGATGGGGGAGTCAGTGGAGTGTGTTTCGGCAAGGGGGACGACTGAAGAGGAGTCAAATCCAGCTCTTCGTGTTCTTCTGCTTTTTTGGATTTTGCTGCCATGGTCACAGGGAGGGTCAGTTCAGGACAGGGGTCTCTTTTCGCTTGTCGCCGAGCTGGTCTCTTCTCCCGTCTTCTCGTCCGACCCTGGGGTGTCCGCGGCGGTTTACTCACCGGAGCACCTGCCTTCTTTGACCCGGAACCCAAGGGGTGTGGATGGTGGATTGCTGTGGTCAGGTCGGCCTGCACGCGAAACAACAGAGACGGTTCTTCCCATATTCCAGGCGTTTGTGCCTGGAAAGAGCTCGGTAGCTCGTCATTCATTGGCTATCTTCCAGGCAACCGTTGAAACTAAGGAGCAAACTGTCTTGAAAAGGCAGGATTCATTTCATCCATTTCTGTTTCTGCCGTGCGAAGCAGTCGTTCAACAGTGGAGTGGAACAATGAAAGCCAAACCTCCATATTTGAGTGCTTTTGGTATGGATGTGCTTGGTTTTTTTGCGTAGTTTCAATACCACCTGCAGAGATGTTCAGAATTCAATGGTATGGAAGGTCTTTGTGTACTATTTTCGCAACTCAGACACAGATAGAAGTGCTTGGCCAGATGTTCCAAGCCGCGAGTGTGTAACACCACCAACATCGGAGCAAACCGCCTTTTCCGAGTATCTGCGGCATATCTTGTTGTGTCTCTCACCATGTGGGTGATGGATGGTGATGGTCCTTTTCGCTCGACCATCGATTCGAGGCCTAAACCTCTTGGGGACAGGAGAGGAGTATGGGATCATGTCAGTCAATGTTTGTTCGTGTCCAATGGATGCGTATCATTGGAGTCTGGTGCTGTGGGGGTCTGGCTATGGAGCTTTTTCTCGTCTTGGTGATTATTTTCTCGAACATACCTTATGAAGTGAACATTGTTCTACTGTGCTTGTCGGAACTATTTGCATGGCAGATGCTGGCATCAGTCCTTCGAATCTATGCAGTTTCAAGCGCGAACCACCCGAACGGTGTCCAAGACTCCAAGGCGGGTCACATAGAAGGTCGAAACAAACGGATATCCTACACATTCAAGAGTAAATGCGTCACATGAATGTGTCAAGTGTCCAAGACTCCAATGTGTAGGAGTGTAGGATACCTTGCATTCACACGGATTTTCCGAGCCTTTAATCTTGACTTGAACAATTGAACTTACTGTAATTTATTCAATTGCTTGTTATGTCTATGCCACTGCTGCAAGCTGCATTCTTGGACGTGTTGACGCTTACAGTTGTTGCAGAGAGGCCGTTTTGTGGTCAGTGTGCTTAAAGTGTTGGCGTTTTTTGCTCGTATGACTGTTAACAAGCTTCCGGGACTTGTTTCAACAGGAACTGCTTGGATGTTGAATGCTCAGGAAGGTCACGCTTCTCGAAGCAAAACACTTTGTTTTAGGTCTCAGAAGTAGAACCACACATCCGTCTAGTGAAAGAGATTGTCACTTTACATCAGACAGCAGCATACTGCTCCATTTCTGCCACTCCAACTGTACTCCGCCACATGGCCACCAATCTAATTCTGCTCAATCCAGTTTTTACAACGTATACAGGATGTTGAACAATGCGATCTAGCTCGGAACATTTATTCGACATGAATTTCCAGGGGGGCCAGGAGGCCACATGTGCCACATGTGCCTTGCTGCAAACAAAGTGAATGTGTCAGTGGATGCCCCTGCCAACATACCAACATGCCTTTCCCTGCATGCCTTCACCACTTCTAACATCAGGAACAGCAGTCGCTCGGTCGCTCGGTCCGCTTTGTGCCTCGGTTGCCGAGACCGGTCATGTCCAGACCGGTCTCCCGCACACTCCCCTTTTGTGTGGAAAAAAACCATCTTCAACTAGCAAGATGGTCATTCGCCACAAATGAAAGCGTGTTTCTTTTTGTTTTAAACCAAAGGGCCTTTTTCTATAGCGAGAACCAGTTTTGGCCTTCCCTGTGAGTCAATGCAGGAGGACTCGCCAAGGCGGCCAGCACGCAAAGTCTCACGCAACGCAACACCGCGCGAGGCGCGCGCGCTTTTTCTTGGTCGGTGCATGTGCATGCGTGCGTTCGTTTGAGACCAGTTGGTCAGGGGGTCCTAGGCCTTCAGTAGGAGGTCGGGCTTTGTTCGCTTTGACTTTTTTCTTCAAACCCACAGTGCATGAAGCCTTCGTGAGGTTTGCTCAACTCCCCATCTCATTCTACCAGTGAACCTTGGATAGTGTATTAGAGACCTGACAATCTATCAACTTTGACTTGCTGGGCACCACCAATACTTTACATTCTCAATATAGTCCAGTCTGACCGACTGCTTCATCAAGTGTCAGCAATGGCTAACACACCTCCCCCCGTTTCGGGCCTTTCGGCGTTCTCAACCCGTTCGGCTTGGAGTCTGTGGCACCGGTGCGTTGTCCCGCTGCGAGGCACACAGACCTCCAAGAAGTTCCCTGCAGGAGGCGCACGTGGTCAGAAACTGGAGACTGGAGACATGTTCTCCCCAGAAGACTGGAAGGTCAAGAACAGGTTGAGGTGAGTTGCTTTTAGGCTTTGTGGCTTTGTGTATACAATGGTATTGTCCAGTTTTGTTCAGTTTTCCTCTTACCAGTGGGGGTCAAGAAGCAAATTGTCCCGAGTCATCCTGTCGTGTTTCCCAGAGGCCTTGAACGACGGGAGAGTGCGGCGCTCAGAGAGACGCGGGAGAGCCTCAAGGGTTTGCTAGCACACTTCTTATAGAGTTCACGCGGGTCTCTACCACATGAAATCTTGACAAGTTCAGAAAAGGATTTTTTCTGATGGCTTTTGTAAGGTCTAGAGCCCCTCAAAGCCTGGTAAGGCCTTTGGTAAGGCGTTTGGCAAAGCAAAAGAATAATCTAAATTCAAACTTAGAGTTTTGGTAGCATAAACCTGTGGATCTTGTATAAAATAAAGACAGAATCAAGCACTCTATCACCATCCCAAGCTCCCCAAACCACCAAAGTCGATGTTTCTGGGGCATTCTTGGAACCTGCCGTTGCGCGGTTGTGGACACCGACCCTAACAGCTTGTCGAAAGCGTGGCAGTTGATGGAAGATATCCAAGCAAGATTGGGATGTAGCTCAAGATTCGCAATACTGAAACCCTGAGAATAGGATACCCAGATAGTACAACTTGGGGACAAGGAAGACATGACCAACACTTTGGATCTTCCCCAGGTGTTTTCAGGAGACCCCATGTCACCCTACAGATGGTACACTATTACAGGGGGTTTAGGAGAAATCTGTTCAAACCAGAAGTTCGCCCTGCAGTTCGGATCTTTCAGGATTACCACATCTAGGGCAGCCGATGGATAGATTCATATTGGGATCTACTACTGTAAATGTCATCCAGGACCCCTAGCACCCTACCTACTATCAAATACTATCAAAAGACGAAATCCTAACACCAGAATAGCACGCACGAAAGTACCTGGAATAGTGGACGCCCTTTCGGGCGCAGGAAGAATCGTTCCGGAAGCCCGACTCGCACGTCTTTGCGTTCCAGTTCCCTTGTTCATCAACAGCCTCCCCCCTTCCAAATTCACTGTGAAAGCAGGGTGGATGCGTGATGATGCGTGGGTTTGATGGTCCAACCCAACCAGAGATGAACGCAAGTCCATCAGTTTGTACGAGAAAAGTGGAGTTCACCACCTGTTTGTGATTGAGATTTCATCGGGGCCATGCCATCCACGGCCAGGCCCATATCAGGGAGTGTATCAGTCGTTGTCATCCGGTTACTCCTCTCCAAAGGGGAACCACCCATGTTCGCTCTCGCCTTAAGGCCTCCGAAGCGATGAGGACCGGCCCAACGATGGATGTTTGCCGTCATGGAGTTTTTTCAGGAAAGCAACGTCTTCACAAGCCCAAGAAAGCAACGTTCCACTGTGTTCCAAACAGATGTCAATCTAGTTTGCAGTTGAACTCCAAATAAAGACCAGCACGCAAATGTGCATGAAACACGAGCATCGCTCGCACACTGACAGCCCCGACAGCTTGGCACACTGCCAGCTGTGTGGGAACCCCGCCTCTTCAGGCGTCGCTGCAAAGGTCACTTCTTTCGACAAAAATGACCGCGGATCGACCCTGGCGCTCGGCCCGCGAAGAAGCTTCAGCACGGCTCGAGCACCTGCCCGCGAAGACAAGCTGCCTTTTCATTGGTGTTGGCAGGTCCGCCGTTTTCACTGATCAATGCATGTATGACGGCGGTTTGCCACAGATCGCCAAGGAGCCAGAGCTAGGGCTTGGACTCCACTAAAGTTGAGAGGAAGAGACAGTCGATGAAGTCGCAGTTCCACTGAGGACGTTCCCTAGGAGAGAGTTGGGACACTGCAGATGGTGTCTGCGCAGAGCACGGTTCTTTCAGGCGAACCAGGGTTCGGCAATTGTGTCCACCGAGGTCGCGAGCCACTTGCTTTAGTTTGATTGTAGAGTATTGTTATTATTACTATAATTTATTATCAATTAATTAATATGTGTGTTTAACCAATAATAATATATAGTTATGATGGTAGCCCTTGCTCCGCGCACCGCGCGGACCTGTTTTCCTCTTGGGCGTAAAAGTCCCTGCACGGTCGACCAAATCAACACTCCATCTACTTTCTAAATTGGCGAGGGATCGAACTGCCGGGCAACATTGAACCGCTGGACATGCTCTGGCCGCAAGCATTCAAGTAATCCACCAGATCTTTCAACCCTGGTGACCCTGTCTTATAATGGCTCACGCAGTAGGATCGATAGCTGGCGAGATCAGGATCGTTGGGATCACGCATTTCCTCATAGGTCTTCACACCCTTGTACTTGCCAAAGGCCACTAAAGAGGATCCCCACTGGCTGATCGACGTCACACCGGGCGGCAGATTGCCTTGGGGATACGGAGACTGGGCCTGCTCCGGCGACACCGGCATCGGAATGGGCATGGTCGCTCCCACCGACGAAGCAACATATGAGGCCATCTCTGGGCCTGTGGACTTCTTTTCTTCACGAAGACGCTTGCAAGCATCGGTCATAGTTCCAGAAGGGGAACCCTCCCACTTGAGGTCAAGTGAGATATCTTCGACATCTTGCACACGCTTCATCAGGGCATCCCATGCACCACATTTCCTGGCTTTGAGAACCAGGCGGAAACACTCGTCAGCTTCGGCTGGAGTGAAAACACCCTTAGAGTTCATGACCATGATCACTCGCACACGAACGGAAATCAAGCTCGACTTGTTCCACTCTCTTGGAGAAAGCTTGAACCATGTAACAAACACGGAGGTTGTTTGGATATTATTCTGCTCGGCAGGGTTAGGTTCTACTCAAATAAACAAAACACATGCATCATGAATTTACTCTCTGCAGAAACAAGCACGACAAACAAACAAAAAAGGATAGGCGGCAGCTTCACTATGGTTTGGTATTCATCAACCCTTAAGTGCATCACTCAAAATAACTCGTTATTATCCCTTGAGACTATATGCACTCATGAATACGACACGGTGCTATTCATGCGCTGCGCTATCATGTGACTTGGTCTTCTGCACGAACTGTTTCCTGCGATCACGTTCCTGGGCTCTGCGCTCAAGTACCAAGGCCTCCGGGCTAATTTGGTAACGAGCGGTCCTTAGGCACGCTCTGACAAGATCGAATGCCTCAGGACTCTCCTTGGTGAGAGAGTCAGCCAACATCCTATCCGTTGGTATCCACCGGATATGAGCTTTCATACGACTAATGCTATCCCTAAGGATGACGATATCGATCGAAGTCCGACGGTCTTCTAGCGTCGGAGAGGATTGAGCAATTAGATGGTCGTATAAAGACTTGCAATCGGTTACTAGCAACACCAAACGGTTTCCAAGGCCAGTCCATAGGCTCTGAGACAGTCGAGGTCCATCCAGGGCCTCTGACAAAATCAAACTTGTCCATTCAAGCATGCTCGAGGCAACTGACATGCTTTGAGCCTCAGCACTAAGTGTGGAGCTCACCACTCGAGGAAGGCGGAAGCTTTTCCAGTAGGCGGGTGTCCAAGAACAGTCGATTCCCTTGTTTACATCTTGGTGAACGAAACTCACCATGAAACCCGCTTGAGTGGCCCCCGCTCTGGCGTTGGCAAACGCTGCATCGGAATGACACATCAAACCTAACTCACCCGGGGGGATTGAACAGTAATGGATCTTCTGATCTGCATGTTGTCGCGCCCTACGAACAGCATGATTTGCAGCAAGTGCATCTCCTATTGTGGGCTTTGGAAACGATTGTTGGGAGAACGATACTTGTGTTCCAAGATCAGGTCGGGACTGGTTTGCTAGCCAGTTAAGGCTTCCATTCACAGCCCTCAAACAGCTAATCTCCTTGTCATCAAGGGGGACATCCCTATCCCTACATCGCTCCCTACTCATATGGATGGGTCGGATTTTATGAGCAAACTTTTCTTGACTCATAGTGATCTCGAAGGTTTCCATGTTTTGCTCATACTGGGCACCGCAAAAATCCCCCGATCCTTGCCGCCACTTGCGGAATTCGAAAACCTTCCGCAATTCGGAAATGGCGTTGGTGTAGGCTGTCCCACAACCCCCTGTGACACAATCGTCAACGTGCACTCCATAGACCCCTTTTAGCTGTCCATGTTCTCTAAAATAGAACAAGCACGCATCAAATCGAGACCGTTCGAACCCAACACGGACAAGTTCTTGGTGCAGCTTCCGATACCATGCTGAGGGGGAGTCATTGAGACCGTACACATGACCTACTACCTCAATCAAGGCGTTCTCTGGCACACCTGGTATTCCTCCCTTCGGAAGGCTAGCGTACAGAGGTCGATACCGCTTGGGGAGATCCCCTGCGGCCAGGAATGCGCCCTTGATATCTCCCAAGGACATGCGCCAACGGTGGGAAGCCAACAGCTGAAACAGCATGTTCCTACCAACTTGGGACAAGGTGGGACTTTGAAGGTCTCCAGCGCTGGCCTTTTCGCTCAAGTCGGGATCGAGGTGACCTTGGAGACACCACCTAGCCTTAACTCTGGGAGCGGAATCATCCTCCTGCTTGATGGTAATGACATATCGGCTACCCATGATTCGATGTTGGAGGTGTTTCCTGACATCATCGGCTTCGGGGCCTAGAACTAACCGCGCAGCATGCTTCGAGAGGATGGTGTTCCACTCGAGCAATTTCGCTTCATCCACTCTGATTTGCAGTTCAAGGGGGTTCCCCGTGACGGGTATCTCTTTGGACGCTTTCTTCTTCATGTAGGCTGCTACCAAGACTTCATGTGATGCTCCGTTGTTGTACATGGTAACTAGGTCATTTATCTCTTCTAATGTGAGGTTCTCAGCTCTCCGAACCAGTTTGGCCTGTGTGAGGTGTTCCACTGAACAGATGGTGATTTCATCCTTGGCAAAGGTTTCCCCTGTTGCTTGAACACAGAGCTGATCGTCTTCCCACCCTGTGGTCGGCTTCTTAGTCGAAGGCTGGGAGGACTCTGGTAGGTCCTCAGCTGAACGCTTGAGTCCATGCGGATCAGCAGGAGGCTCTGACGATGGCTCTGCTTTTGCCTGTTGGGGAGAATCCTGAATGATGCGGTTCACTAATTCAGGGACGATTTCCTGCATCATTTCTTGGAAGTCTTCATCTGCCATACGTCCAGGTCGATACAAAGCCATCGGGCCGTCTTTCTGGAGAATCCTACGACGAGGTCTGACGGGACCATAGCCTGTTTCCGGATCTACTGTGTCTGGATCTGGTCGAGTGGTCGACTGGTCAACAGGCTGTGGCAATTCTGCCTCGCGAAAATCAGTGGCTTTGTCCTGGACGGGTACGGGTGGTAGCTCCTCTCCGTTGAGGTTAGCTTGCATATCGACATCTGACGATTTGGGCTGACCACCCGCTGCCGTTTTGTCCAGCACAGACTGGGGGACTGAACCCCTGTCGGCTTCATCAGACCGAGTGTCCTCTGATGACTCTCCGGGATAGGCGTCAGGCACTAGATCGATATACTGTTTGCTTGACAGTTGACCCGATTCGATGAGATGTTTGATTCCCAAAAATTCCATATTTGGAGTCTCTACTAGTTTGATCTCATCCTGTGTCGACGAACGAACTTGTTCCGGGGCACACCGAAAAATCTGTCTCTTATGGATGATCACCAAATTGCGTCCGACATACCCTAACACTACAGCAGGACCACACCATCGACCACTTTTCTCCAGAGACCCATGAACCCATTTTTGTGACCTCCAAAAGGCTATGTAGGTACCTGGCGCATACGTTGTGGTCACTCGAGGTCTAGCTGCCAGGGCCAAACGAAGGGCCTTGCTGTCTTGCAGATCGAGGACGGCTTTGCGAGCTGCAGCTCGAATAGCCACTTGTTTGGCTACTGCTTCTTCATAGAGAGCTGCAGTGGCAGGGACTATGTCCAACGGCTCGTCCAACAAATTTTCAGGCACTCTCGGATTCTTTCCAAACACAAATTGGGAAGGTGTCATACCATATACCTGAATCAGTTGGTTCTTGCAATGAGCAGCATGGACACAATCCAACCATTCTTCTTGCGTACGGGGTTCATGCTCAGTCAACACTTGGTCTAACACCCTGCTAAACCAACCACCATGAACCTCGACCTTGCCCAGTTGCCAGTGGGCGTCTGCCGCCGTCAGCTTAAATGAGGCGCCGCCCTGTTCAAGGACAAGTGAAAAGGCATCAGCGATGTTTGCCCTGTGCGAATCACAAATCACTTCCTGGGGCATACCAGCCCATGAAACCCACCGTTCCATGAACACTTGACGCATGACCTGAGCTGTCTCTTTCCGGAATATCGGCACCACCATCTGAAGCGAACTGGCAAAGTCCACTATATTAATAGCTGGAATTCGCTGATTGGTCTGCCATCCCTTGAGATACTTAACATCCACCCCTACAACAGCATTGAACTCAGTCACCCTTGTGGTTTGAGCAGGAAGGGCTACCTTGGGGTTCTTTTGGGCTTCGCATTGATCGCACTGGAATCGACGGGCAGCATCGATGGCAGCTACTGATGCTCCTCCATGCTTGAGGACCCTTAGCAGCACGGCTTGAGAAGGATGGCCTAAGTTGTTATGCAACTTACGGAGGCTTGATCTGATCTTATCTTCTGGCTCTTGGTTCAGTTCCTCAAGCGAATGAGCGACGAGACACTCGATGTTCCGGTCATCCATCACTATGAGACACTCAGCTTCCGGGAGTCCTTTGACAGTGCGAAGAACAGCTTTCACAAAGGCTGGAGTGTACTTACCTGCAAAAGTACTGATCGCTCCTACCTGAGGGTGACTGCCGGCCACTACTTGATGTCTGGAGTGATCTCCATGGGACGACCCGGGGCATCGTTTGGCAATTCCCTTCATGCACTCATGTGAGACCAACAAATTTGTGGTCTTCCGGATCAGGTCGCCACCTGGGATTCGAAGGCCATACTGACACATATCGACGACGATCATGTGCATGAACTTGGTCAGTTTCACCATGCTGGGGTGATGCCAAGCTACAGAATCTTTGGGGTGTTCGAACAAACATTGTCCACCATACGAAAACTGCAGTTCCATGAGTTCACAACAAAACTGAATGAACACCCTGGTCCAAAATTCCCGTTGAGCGACCTCCTTATCAGTCATGTGTAGGCGGTTGAGGTGCCACCATCCACCTGCCCACGTGCATGGAGGGCAACACACTAACAACTTGGGTCGGCTTGTTCGAACATGCTCCTTGAGTGCATCACGATCGGCTCGGCGGCGGAAATCCCAACCTGTGCATAAGTCGGCCGACAACACAGACCATCCGACCTTTGCACCTTCAAGCGCAAAACGAGGCGGAGAAAACACTTCGATGATATCAAAGGATGAACCCTTGACAGGACCGGGAGCCTGCAGCTGAGCCATGAGCTGCCGATGTTGTTTGGCAGTCCAGTGCGTGACACTCAGCTTTTCGTCCTGGGCCCCGACGGGGATCGGAACTGACGCATCGGGTCGGAGTTGGAAGATGGTGGTTCCGGTCCACGGCTTCGAATCATGTTTGCGATGGGCTCTCTCCGGATCGGTCCACAAATCTTCTGTTGTTCGGAGGACGGAGGCCGGGCTATCGACGGTAGTAGTTCGACTGGCCTGAAGAAGATGCACGTCGATTGGACACTGTGTGTTGTTTGGTGTGAACAAGGTTTCCCTGGGCTTACGATGGTGTCTAATCACAATGCGTTCTTGAGGCCTATACTCCCAATAGTCTTTCTGTTTTTGGGGATGACGATCATACGCCACCGAGATGCATGCTGTCGGCTCCAGAGTGGCCTGCTCGTCATGGGCCAGCGGCGGAAACATGGTTTGAGCCTGACTTGGGAAATCGGACACCTTGATGGCATACTGTCCAGCTGCATTGACCTCCAGGGGCACCCGAACTCGATCAGGAAAAACTTGCAGGGTGTCACCTGAAAAATCAACTTGAGCCTGCAACTTCTTCAGGGCAGGCCGAGAAAGCAACAAGGGAGCTCTCCCTTTAACTACGGCAGCTGTCACATAGCCGGGGCGTCCGGCCAAGAAGACGGGCATGTCCACCACAGTTTCACTCATTTCTTGTTCACCATTCCCATAGCGGAAACTATTGCGTTCCGCCTTTTCTGGTCGGGGAGCAATACCATGTCTTTGCCAAATGTCCTTAAAGGAGTTCAGCGTGTCGCGACCGATGATTGTTTTCCCGCAGCCGCTGTCCAGTACTGCAAAACCTGGACTGCTCACCAATAGCACTTCATGTTCCTCACAGCGAGCAGCAGTACATACAAAATGTTCAAGTGGCTCACAGACTTGGACAGTTCCTGCAGCATGGCTTGGAGCCTGGTGGGAAGCCGATGACGAAGAGCCCTGGCGACACTCTCGTTGCCAATGTCCCAGTTTTCCGCACTTACGGCATCGTGTCCGTTGCTTCAGCTCCTCCACCTGAACCCTGAAGGACCGTTTGAAGTCCTTGAACGCTCCAGCTCCCTTGCGGGCATCAGGCGCAGAAAAACGACGTCCTTTTTGCACCATGTTCAACTCAGCCCTCTTTTCTTTCCATGTCGCAGCTAAAATCTCAGCTGCCTCTTCCTCCTCGAAGCCCTCTGTGTCACCAGCTGAAAATGAAGGATCCTCTTCATGATGGCCATGTTCGGCCAAAAACAACTCCACATCACGAAACCCGTCATATGACGGCTCGTCCAGGGGTTCTGACACAGAAGAGGGGTCGTCCAAGGTCACAGCGGCAACGGCTCGCTTCTTGGGCACCACATAGTCCGGGAAGCAAGACCTCATCGATTGCGAGACCTGATCAAACTTCAAGTCCCCTTGAGCACGTGCCAGTACGACCGCACGTTGTTCAGCTTGAAGACCACTGCAATTCAGGAGTATCCATCCACGAGCTTCTTCAGGGAATTTCACTCCAGTCTTTCGCGCACAGCGGTCGAAGGTTTCACGGCTTCGAGCACACCATTGGCGGACACTCTCGCCCTCTGTCGCCTTCAGGGCGAATACAGCAGCTATGTTTTCTCCTATCTCATCTGTCCGGTCCAATTCCGGCCAACGTTTGTCAAGGAGGTCGAAGATCACCTTGTCCCCGCCCTTGACCTGGTAGTCACTCTCCTTGAGGTGCTCGATAACCTCGAGCGCACGGCCAGAAAGAAGAGTCCAAACAAAAGATCCACGAGAATCTTCAGCCAGCTTGTCCATGGTCCGCATTTTGTTCACGACCCATTGTTTCCACCTCCTATACTCTCGGTGATCACAGTCTTCTCCGTTGAAATAACGGAGAGAAGTGCCAGCCTCCATAGCAGCACGGTCGACGACCTAGGTATGCGTCCAGCACACCGAATCCTACAGGAGTCAGGATTTTACCTGCTCCGCTACCAATGATGGTAGCCCTTGCTCCGCGCACCACGCGGACCTGTTTTCCTCTTGGGCGTAAAAGTCCCTGCACGGTCGACCAAATCAACAATATATAGTTATATATATATCATTTGTCTAAACAACACATGTTTTTCAAATGCTTACATTGGAATATCAACGCTGGACAATTGTTGCGGTGCATCTACTGCTGCTGAATTCCATAATTGCGGCGTTCCAGCTCCGTGATTGCATGGCGTGATGGCACGCCAACATTGGGTTGTTTCAAGCAGGGTCAATCATGTAGATTCTTGATTGATACAACCTTCCGATATCTTCCGTATGAAGAGGTTGTGTGATCCAAATGGGGAGGGGTTATGAATCAAAAGTCTACACTATGTCAATTTCTAGATATCAAATGATATCAACATTCTTCACCCCAAAAGATCTCGCACTTCAAACGCATCGGATGCATTCGGATGGGCCATTTGAATGCCATCGACACAGATAGGCTGTCCATGTCTTTGGCCATCGAAGATTGGTGTTGCAGGATTGGTGTTTGCAGCGCTACTTGACCTAATTGTCCCTCCAAGAAAGATGACAGTTGTTGGCATGACCCCGAAAGGAGCATATCTCAGGATGTGTTCAATATTCATGAGTTTTCCGCTTCCTTGCTTGGTGGAGGGAGAGTAAGATGCGCTACGTGCCCCCAATTGGTGGCAGGTAAGCCATGGGTGTCGTGTGACGTGTACACAAAAAGTGGGAAAAAAGGTCAAAAACACGGTCAAACAGGCCATACTGCGTGCGTCTCGGCCATACTTCTTCATCGGTCTCCGTGCGCTCCAGGAACCTTGCCTGGTGAACATTTGTGATGACCCTTTGTTGTCAGGCACAGCACCGGGGTCGATGGCCGGTACCCGTGCCGTTCCGGTAGTCGTGCCGTTCTGGTACCCGTGCCGTTGCTGGTGTTTCATGGAGTGTGGAGTCGGAGGAAGTGGGTTAAGAGTCCCGCCGCGAGCGAGGGAATCCGAGCTGGAATTGAGGAGTGCTTATCTCGTACTCCTTGGAGTCTTCATGATGCAACGAATTCCGGATCACCGATCTGGAATCTTGGTCAGCTTCTGTGGGAAGTGTGATACTGCATGATACTGCATTTTTCTTTTGATTTTTCCTGGAGATGCACAACATCACTTTGGGAGCTTGGAGGTTGATCTTCAGGTCTTCCAGTCAGACACTCTGTTGACGATACGACGCATTTGCCACGACAGGATGGACAGAATTGGACAGACCGTTTTTCTCGTTTCCAGGCTGTTTGCGCTACTCTCTTCCAGCCAATCACCTGGTCTGGAGCTTAGAAGCCAAAGGAGAATGGCAAGGATCAGTTGCTGAACCCCGAGCATACCTGATGATCCACCAGAGAAAAGGTATGTATTTGGCCACTTCCTCCAGTGGATCTCATCCTGAGGTTCAAGCTTAGCCAAAGGTTGAAGGCTATATAACAATTCTTTCACCCTGCAACCTGCATGTAACTTATAGTTTGGGTTTTATGTTTGGAGGGTTTTCCAGGACTCTTTAACGAAGACAAGACAATGGTTCTCTGGGTGGTCATTCCATACCATCCAATGAACTACCAACAAACTTCAGTGGGACCCATGTATTGGATTGAGGACGTAATGTGCAATACAGTGACAAGTCTCAAGCCAATGAAATCCTCAAGTTTGAAACCGCATTTGATGTTTAGACGAGGTTCGATGTTGTTTACGCTGCATGTGTATTGCAATAATGGATTTGGTGCAGTTTTGTATTTGAGGTAAGCGACTGTTCTGCCTGGCAACGCTAGGTTTAGATCAACTCTCATTCAGTGTAAACTTCCCCATGTTGGTTCAGGGTCTCTTTGTCTCGGCCTTGACAAGCTTGCTAACCTGCAGCTGTTTTGGTCATGAGTTTGCCCGTTGTTTTGGTCTTTTTACACAATCGTGCTCACTGATCGGTGCTTTCACTGTCTGACTGTTGCGGTATTCGATCGATGCCTTCACCGTCTTTCTCTTCTCCGATCGAAGAGAGGATCGAGGCGCTCCGATCGAAATTTCCATGACCGAACACCGGGGCGCCCCTGACGCGTTGACTCGTGGGGTAGCAGGGGCTCTGTGGCTGAGCTTCCTTTTCAGGATACGCCGGTTGGCTCGTGGGACCCATGGCCTTTGGATCAGTTGGGGATGGACATGGGCATGACATGGACATGACACCTACAATGGTGAATACAAAAGGTCGCATGTTTTTGCCTGCGGATTGAAAACCGAACGTGTAGTCATAGTACTTTTATTACTCTCAACTTCGACACCACTTCATATACTTTCAACTTCGACACCATTTAAGATAACACCACTCCAAAACGCGGCCCACGAATCCTGTCCCTCCAAGAATAACATCACCACGGAACTGAGGCGAAACCATGATATTGCCGAATCCCATTGTGAACTCCACATGAAACAATTGAACCGGCATCAAATATGAGCTTAACACGCAGGTTTCGTGAACCACACAAGAATGACTGCTGCTCCTAAACACACACACACACACACACGTCTACACGTTGAGTTTTCAACCTGCCGGTAGTTCAGATTTGGTGATCTCTAATCCTGTGTTTGAAATGAATAGGGCAATCTCTGGAACCTGCTAGGCCATTCTCCTCAATTTGACACTGGCCTATGTCTTTTGAGTTGTCGTTTGTGTTCCAAGAGATTGAATTCCTGTTCCCTTTTGGGTCTGGAACACCCAGCTCGGTGGTCTTCAGAGGGGTGAAACCCATTCCTGGGACCACTGTGCACCAGGATGAGAGTCACTGAGGTGCACATTGGCAGCAGTTCGCGTGGGCCACAGATCTGTGGCAGCTGCAAGACGGGTCTTTCAAAATCAGAGACGTCCAGGCCAAGTCCACCAATGGTTTGTTGTGGATTTGGAGAGGTTTGTGAGAGGTCAAGGTCATGGATCTATTTAACCTCAATGAAGAGTTGAGAGTTTGCTTCGCTACACTCCCTGTAACTCACATGGAGGGAACATTATATCATGAATTATATCAACAAAGTCAGGAGACACACACTTTGCCTTTTTCTTGTCGTTCCGCCGGTCATTCCGGCACTGGAACGGAGACATCAACGGAGGCCGAGTGGTTCGATGGATCGACCGTCCATCTTCCGGTTTTTTTAGGTCTGAGCTCAAGGGCTTGAGCCCGAATGACCAGGACTCTCTTGGACTTGTTACTAATAGCTTCTTGTTTCTAATGTTTTCATCCGTTTCCTGGTTTCTTGTGTTGGACATGATGACATGTTGTTCTTCTCTGAAAGATAAACAGGATTCAGTGAGCTTGTACGAGATGTCGCCTGAAAGATATGGCACCGTGACGTTTTTCATACCAGCGCCACGCCATTGCTTGCTTCGGGGTGTGTACAAATTTGAACATAAGATATCAAAAGATGCCGTAATACGATGCCAGCATTCCAGACCAAACCTGAGGCGTAAAGTGACAAACGGACAAACGGTGTTTGTCTAATTACTGCAAATAATCGTTTCTTTTTTTTGAGAGGAGCCTTCCAGCTTTCGCTCCAGCTCTCAGCGGCACCACTAGTGAAGGATCTATACATCTTCCTGCAATACAGCGATCCACCCTTCTTGAATCTTCCATCAATGAGAAGATGCGCTATATTTCGTTTTGCTTTTCCTTTGATGCCACCGTCGCTCTTTCGGGGATCGACCCAGGACGAACGCGCTCGAACGCGGCCGAACGCGTGTGGACACGGCCCCCCCCAGGTCCTGCCAGATCCACGTGGACGGGCTCGGCATCCAGCCGGAGCGACGGCACGGTCCGTTACGCCGACCGGGTACGGCCGGTGGGCTTCCAGTGGATCGGTGTGCAGTCTTAGAGTAACGAATCCCAACATGTCGAAGTTCTGTCCGGAAAAACATGCGGTTTTCAAAACCGGACTTGATTTAAGATCATCTCCACCTAGTACTTACATCATACATCCTTGTCCTCTCATTCTTTTTTTGTTTCATCATTTAGCATCATTTGTCTTTCTGTTTTCTTTCTACATTTTGGAAGAGCTACCAGGGTATGTTGGAATTTGCAACTGTTGATGTGGACGGACTGTTTGCAGCGTCGAGATACCGCAGGATCTTCCAAATCATTCCAAATCTACAGACATGGACTCTCAGGCCAGTGTTCCAGACATGATCGTTACAGAATGTTACAGACTCTTTGTTTTTTCCTTTCTTTCGTGACCCCCGGGGTATCAGGAGATGTGCTCAGTGGTGTGGCGCCCGGGGCATGATGTGGAAATTCAGGCATCGTGCCGCACTGGGGAACACGGGACAGACACGTGAGCAGAAGACTGTCATGGCTGCTGGTGACATGGCAGAGTGAGGGCCGACCCTTCTGTAACCCTCATAACCATATAACACTGATCAATATACTTAATATCTATTGGCTCAGAGATGATGTCTCAAACCAATGCAGAATCTTTACTTCTTCAACCCCCGGACCGCGCTTGAAACGTCTTGGGCTACAGCCCATCTGGACAAATGGCGAGGAGGGAAGAAACCGAACCTATCCAGGGATTCGGGGTGGATGTGTAGACAGGTACCGTAGATGTGTACCTAAAACCTGAGTGATTTATATGTTTGACCACCAACCACTCAAGATATGGTTTCCTATCAAAACAGGGGTAAAATATGGTAAAATCATGTCTGGGCTCCAGGTATGTATTAACAGATGCACCTGCGAAGGCGTGAATGTGTATGTCCACACCGACCAATGAGCCAATGGCACGGAATGGCCCATCGACATGCTATTCTTCCTTGTTGTTTTTTCCGTACAACCTGGAACAGTACCTTCTCCCATGTCAGGCATCAGCAGAGCGTCATCCAGGAAAGAGAACCCGGCTTCCTGG